TATATATATATAGTTTTTAGTACTATGAAATACTCTTTTCTCTTATGTTCTTTTCTTCTGGCATTGAGTGCATTAATTACTCAATTTTGCTTTTTTAAAAATTAAACATTTAAATATAAAAATTTTCTTTAATAAACATTATTAAAATGAACTATGACTATTGTGTGAATAAATCCTAAATGCACAATGCTAATGGAAAAAAAGGCCAGTTCCAGAAGGCAGTGTTTTCCATAAATAGATAGATAGATAGATAGATAGATAGAAAGATAGATAGATAGATATAGATAGATAGATGTATACAAAATATATGTGTATAATATATATATATTTATGAAACAGTGTTATATATATAACACTGAAATACAGAAAAATCATAGTACTTTCCTTTTCCAACATGAGGTATGGTCTTCTTCCTTTCTCCCTCCTTTTGAGATTTTGGGCACACGCACCCAGCATGATTCTCAAGCCCCTGTGTCTAAGACTTGAACTGCACAGTTGACCATGTGGGATCCAGCCACTCTAACTGCCATTCCCTAGGCTGGCCCACCATAGTGTTTTTGTTTATGAACAAGTACCTATTTTTAAAATGTATCAGAATAGGACTAAAAAGATACATATACATTTCAAATAGAATTTGTATCTGGGATGGGAAGCAGGATCACAGAGTGCTAGTAAAAAAGAGTAATAAGGTATCTTCAATTGTATAGAAAACTCTCTTATCCCTTAAGAAAACACCCACATAAATACACACATATCAAATATTTTTAGAAGGCATAAAATTTTTTTTCAATAAAGAAAGGGATGATGTTCTGCCATCCTCAAAAACTTTTGAGATCCCTTCACCACATGGAAAAGGTCCTAGGTTCATGTCCAGGGACCTCCTTGGGCATGCCAGCTGAGACTAGGGATGGGCAATGGAAGAAAGGTCTTTTGGGAAGTGCCTGCCTCTCTCACTCTCTTGAAATAAATATAAATAAATAAACAACAAAACATCAAAAAACAAAAACAAAAAAATATGTTGTTGAGATCCTTACAATCACTCTGGCTAAACCTAAATACTGCGTCTATTTGGACTAAAAGTCTGCTGTGAGTTTTAAGAACTGTTTTTCCAGCTGCTATTACTGTGAAAGTAGGGTGTTACTGTTAAAATGTGCGTCATAAATTTGTTTCCTTGGACAAGTATGGTCCTTTTTTCATGTATCAGAAAAGCAGTTTAAATCAAACTCAGAAAAGACTTTCTAAGAATTTTACTTTCAATATACTGACAATTTGGTAAACTCACACACATGCACATACACACACACACACACACACTTTAAAAGGTAATATACCGTGTCCAGCACTAGGAGGTTACCTAAAATAACCCAATCTTCAGCAAGACCTTCAGAAATCTGATAGCAAATGAACATAGGCTAAGAGTGACATCTAGTGGCCATACTATAGACATAGCACATAGGCTTCACTGTCCTGGCTGCTGCTTGTATCCAAGCAATCTGTCATTGCTTTGAGCTCAAAATCCATCCCTCAGTTGCTGTGGTTCAAGGATGTCTACACTCTAGAAAGTGCTTTGAGAGAATACAAAGAACCAGTGACTCTCTTTGTTCTTCCTTCTGTCCTTCCCTGTATCCTGGCTTAGTTTCCCCTTTCCTACCAAATAAATGTGCAATGTGTGCATTGTGTCCCGTGGGCGACCAGGTGAAGGCCAACAGACAACACGGTAGAAATAAGATGAAAGTCTTATTGCTGTCTTATCTGATATGGAGTGTGCTATTCTTCCGTGTGAAATTGTATCCATTGCAACTAATCTAGCTAAATTAATTTAGTAATATTTAGTCACTGTCATTTGGGACAAGGTATGAATTGCAAAAGTCCAAACACCTGCCCCCAATATCCTATTAAAACTGCTTCTCTTGGACCAGCAGTTGGTGTAATGGCTATGTCGCTGGACTCCCATGTAGGTGACCACAGTTCGTGCCCTAGACCCAGTGGCTTCAACTCACGCCAGGCACATGTGTGTGCATGCCCAAGATCCCAAGAGGAGAGTGGAGAAGGAATTTCAGAGTGGTCATCCTCCCTGGGGGGTGATTTCTCTCTTTCTGTCTCTCTGTCTCTCTCTTTCTGGTGAGCACATGCGCCCTATAGCAAACACCTCTCAAAAAAAAATACACTGCTTCTCACAACGATGTCAAGAATAATAATAACTATACTAAGAGCCAATGTATATTGATCATGCACACACACAGAACCAAGCACCATTCTGTCTTATATGTATTAGCGCATTTACACAAGACAATTCCAGTAAGCAAGTATTAATATTAAACAAGTTGAGTACCTCTTAGCCAAAATTCTTGGAAGAAAAAGTGTTTTAAATTATATATATAAACACACACACACACACATATATATGGAAGAAAGGAGATTTGGGAATATTCACATATATGTAATATTCTGTCTTGAGGATGGGACCTATGTCTGAACATGAAATGTATCTAGGTTTCATTTGCATCTCATGCACATAGCCTGAAAGTAATTTTATACAACATTTTTACACTGCAACATTATCCTGTGGCATCATGTCAGTGCTTACAAAGTTTTGGGTTTTGAAACACTTTGGATTTCATATGTTCAGATTAGGAATGTTCAACCTGGAATTACACAAATGAAAAAGTGAGCCATAGAGAAATAAAGTAATTTGGCCAAAGACCTAGAACTAGTGCACTGATAGAGACACGAAATGCATTCACCTGGCCCCAGTATGCCTTCTGGGATGTCTCATTCTGGAAGTCTGTATTCTGGGAAGCTATGCTGTCTCCCAGTGACCTCCCAGTGGCCAGTCCCAAAGGCCTGTCATTGTTGGCCCTGTTTTGCCTCCCTGGGGCCAGCAACAGTATTGACCACCCTCTGGGTCCCCCATGGCCTGTTTCTTCCTCTCGAGTTCCTGTCTCCTCTGCTACATTCTCTCTCCCTCTGCTCTGGAAATTTGGGCAGTCTCCAAGGTTCTTCCCCACTAACCTTATTTTCCATCTCTTCATTCGTTCTCTCATTCCCTAGGACCTCCAGTGAAGAACTAGTTAGATTTAACATCAGGATTCTACGACTCCTGAGACTTGGTGTCCAGCCCTTCCACTCCTGGAGTCCTTCCCCTGCAGTAGGATGAGCGGCTCGGCGCCGTGGTTCTCACTTTGTCTGCCCACTCACCCCAGCTGAGGAACTTTGGTAAGTATCTCTGCCCAGGCCCCTCCCAGGCCAATTAGGTAAAAGCCTTTGGAGTAGAACACAGGTCCATATTGGTAAAGCTCCCAGAATCTTTAACTTTTGGTCAGTTGGTCCTCAGCAATGGTCTCTCCTCCCCATCCCCACTTTCTTTCCTAAGCGCCAGCTTCAGCTTTCTCACCAGCAGCCTGCTTTGTTTCTCCTCTATGGATGAATGTCTCACCACGGCCAGGTTTTGCTTCCTAGAAAAAATTTCTAGTCACATTATGTGTTAGCCTCTCTCAAGGACATTCAACAGCTCCCCATTCTCTGACAAGAGGGAAGGATAAGCCTCTGGGACAGCAATCCCAGTCTTTCACATCATGGTCTCCCTGAGGCTTTCTGACACCCGTGGCCTCCGGGTAGCCTACCTCCCAATGGACACTCGCTTTCCCCTCACTTTCCTACCTGAGGCCTCCATTCTCCATTCGTATTTGTTATACCTGACATCATGTAAAACTTAACTCAAATGTCATGAAAGCTCTCTTAATATCCTTTCACTCCTCCCAAATCCCCATAGCCCTCCACACCTTTCAAGTGGTTCAGTGAGTGTTCTTCCTCGTTTCAGTTATTTTGGTTTCCACATTTCTGCACAGGGAAAATGGCGCTGGCCTCCTCTGTCCATGAACCACATGGCTTATTGAGAGCTTCTGCCCCTCAGAACACGCTCCTCATTAGCTTTTTCCCACAAAGGAAGTCATTCCAGTCTGTGGGTTGGGAGCCTTAGACATTCCTTGGGCCTCATTTTTATAGTGTGAAAAGCTATTGTCTAAATATTGGGAGCCAAGTCTTTACTTCCTCTTGTACTTCCTGGGCCCAGGCTTGCTTGTTTACTTTTTTTTTATTTTAAATTTTGCCAGAATGCACCTACACATGCTGGAGAGAGACAGAGAGACCGAAAAGTAAGAAAGCAGCCCCAGTGAGGGATGGTTACACGGCAATCCCTTCTCCTCCATCTCTCCCTTTGGGGATTCTGGACACACACACACACACACACACACCGCTGGTGTAATTTCCATGCTGCTGGGCCGAGACTTGAACTACCCAGTCAGCCATGTGGGATACAGTCACCTTAACCACCAGGCCAAGGGCTGATCTCCTGGGCCTAGGCCTTCTGCTGTTTCCTATTCCCATGCAGGAAGCCTACCACAGAAAGACTGGGCAATACTCCTCATCTCTTCCCCTCCATGACAGAAAGGCTGGAGCAGGCTGGCCATCAGCTAATGATCGGTCAGACAGATGGGGTTGCTCATCAGAACCAGTCCTCCTGGATTCAAAGCAGAAGAATAAAGATGTGTCCTACTCTCTTAGCCAACTCTGACTTCACACATTTAACTTTTAGCTTGAAGATGAATACGTGAAGACCTCCATGGAAGGGGAACGTCATTCGTCAAGCTGGTGAATCTTGTTATGTGCCCTCCCTTGATAGGGCAGCTCACCAGGAAGGCGTGAGAGACAAGATCCAGGTATCAACATGGCACCCTTCCCACCTAGCATCAGGCCCTCTGGCTTGCGGCTGTGCTTCTCTCCCTGCACACAGGAAGGCCTCCATGACCATATGCTAAAATTAACTGAACTGACTCATTCTGTAATCGTGCCCTCTTCCCTGTGTCAACCTTAGCTGTCATAATGTGTGTCTGTGGCTCCATGTTACCAGTCACCTCCAAAGTTTATCTATAAATCTGCTCAAAGAGAGGGGACCCCTGGGAAAGGCAGCCCCGCTCCAGGATATATTCTGTCATACTCACATTGGAGAATAAGAATCAGGATCTATGTTCCTGGAGGGGACAAAGCCCACTTCTCCTGAGCTCATTGACTTTCCAAGGAACCATCGAAGCCCAGGGATGACAAAGCCAATGATCTCGATGCTTTCCCCCTGGCAGACACTCAGTTCATCCACTTCTTCCTGTTCATAATCCGTCAAGGCTTTACATCGTCCTCTGCCTGTGGGAAACAGCATATGGGTCAGCTAAATAAGGCATAAGCAGTGGGGCCTCCACTACCTTCCAATGTAATACGAATAGGGGTTCCAAGACTGTAAAAAGTCAAGGACCAAGAAAATTTTACCACCACCACCCAAAAATTGGCATGAATAATGCAGAATAACTATGTTTTTCATTTTCCCAAACTGGGACATAAGAAAGAAAAAGAAAGAAAGAGAGAGAGAGGAAGAGAAAGAAATCTACAATCTACTTACACCACTATTTTGTAAATAAATAAATAAATAATTTTTAAAAAGGGTATTTTAACAACATAAGAAAGATATTTTTAGACTAGTAGATATGCCTAAAAGTTGAATAAACATAGCTTATGGAAAAACAAGAAAGCCATTATATTGTCCTGGTTTGTCTGATTTTGCCACTGTCATGTAAACACACTGTCATGACTAGAACGAATCCACAGGCCAGCATGAGAATCATTGTCCCAGAGGATCCCTACATGTCCTTCCAGTATCTTTGGCTACTGTGACTCTCAGTCTCTTCTGTAAGATGGGGACAATAAGAATGCCTGAAACTAGGAAGAGTCAGAGATGAAGTGCACAAGGCCTGGTACCTCGTCAGCCCTCGTTAGCACTGGTAGAGTAAGAAAGTTGCCGATGATGCAGAGGGATCTGAAGACTCTCCTTCTGACTATGGTAGCTGTTCATTTTAAAAAGTTGCCTAGCCAGGATCTAGTAACGACATTTCTATGAGTGTTGCGCTTATAAATACATTTATACCCATTTCCTCAGATCTTCCCAAGACCTCTGAAAGGCTGGCAGGGCAACTATCAGAATCTACTCTTTGTAGATGGGAAAGTGGAGGCACAGAGAGGACATGGGATTTGTCTAAGGAGATTCTTTGTGGAAAAACTGGCTCTAGGCCTAAGTCTTCTGACTGCTGTCTACCCTCTTTCCACTAATCCCGCTCTTGTGGCTTTTATGTACCTCCATTTCCATATTTGTTTTGACTTTTCTGCTAAAACTACCAACTTATTTTTTCTGATATTTTTGGCCATGTTTCTATTGGGTGTTTCTTCAGATTAGAAATTCTCAGTGCTTTGTGGGTTAGTAGGACCAGCCTTGTGTTAAACCTTGTCCATGTGAGAGAAAGTCTCCTGACAGTATCTGAGATTAATTTTATTGTATCATTTTACAAATGAAGCAGCTGCAGCACAGTGAGAGTAGGTGAACTGACCAGTCAAGGAGATGCTGGTTTTAAGTTGTGTGGCCAGAATTTGAAGCTAGAATAGGCTTCAAAGCCATTCTATTCCTTACTACAAATTTATACTACATCAGAAAGTTAAAAATCTTGCTTGTGGCCGATAATTTATTAAATTTGAGGTCTGGGTTCCATAAAAAGTCCTATTTATTTTGTAAGTGTTATTTGGGCTTAGATCTTGTAAAATCACCTTTTGTGCTAGGGGTATATGTCAGAAGTCTGAAGGGGGCTCTCCAGGTGAAGATGAAAGTAAGGTACATTGTGGTATTTTAAAAATATTGGACTTTGTTATCCAGTAGATACATATACACTTATAGATATGCATACATGTACACACACACACAGATAGAAATTACCTGTAATATGTGCATGTGTGTATATATGTGCATGTATATAATTGTACACATGCATATATATTTCATTCTTTTACTCAACATACATTTACTTAGTACCCATTATGTTCCAGGCATTCATACTCTTTCAAGGTAATTTCATATAACTATAAGGAAGATTAGAAAATATTTTGACCAGAACTAGCCCTGCAGCTTAGTGGTTAAGGGAGCTGGATTCCACATGGCTAACCACAGTCCAAGTCCCAGCTCTGGCAGGTTGCATAATATACTGGATACGTATTAGTGCATGTCCCAAATCATGACAGGATGGAAGAATGAAGGAGAAGGGATTGTGGCATGGCCATTCCCCCTTGGTGGTGCTTCTCTCTCTGCCTCTCTCATTTTTCTATCTCTCTGGAAACTGCGGTTCGAGTCCTGGACCTGGAGGCTTGAAACTCAAGCTGGGTGCATGTGCATGTGTGCCCAAAATCCCGAGAGGAAAATGGAGGAAAAGGGATTGTGGCATGGCCATCCCCCCTGAGGGGCAGGGGTGATCTCTTACTTTCTGTCTCTCTATCTCACTCTGGCAAGCACATGTACCCTGTAGCAAAAATCTCTCCAGAAAAAAAAAAAAAAAACAGGCAGTCTGCAGGCTATATTCGACTCACAAACTGTTTAATTTGGTCCACACCAGGCTTTTTTCTTTTTCCAACTATACACTTTTAAATCCTCATCAGTCCTATCATTTCCTAACACCTTCCATCCAGACCCTCCACACATCTGTGTGTCTCACCTATCCCTGTAGGCATTTGCTTCTGTCACCCTGGAGAAAGATATCTCACCTCACAGGCAAGGAAACCCATGTATACAGACATTAACTGACTTCTCTAAATCCAATCAGTAGCAAAAGTAAGATAGAAAGTCACATAAACTGACTCCAAACCTGCAGATAAAATTAAGAGGTACAACCACATTATGTCCCTAACAATACTGTTTTCAACTCGGCCGTACCGATCTGATAGGAGCCTGTCCAATCCCTCTTCCCGGGAAGGCCACAGCTTCCTGGATAATTCTTTAGGAACCATCTGCCAATGAAAACACAGGGTTTGCAAACATAGATTTTTAAAACTTAAGAACAATGAGTAGAACCGTTCATTAGAATGATGCTGATGGTAAGCATTGTTATTTCTCTTATTTTAATGACAGCAAAAATTTATTGAGAAACTACTTTATATCAGGCACTGTGAAGAGGAGAGTTTGGCAGATCTGGGATGTTTTCTGATTATGCACCTAGTCTGTCAATTAAATAATGAACAAGTCATCCTTTAGTCTCCTGTTGGATTCTCTGCCACAGCCAGCTCACCATCCAGGGCCTGGGATATTGTTTTATATTTATTGTTTCACTTTATGTTTGAGTTTACAATATCATCTCGCAGGGATTCTCAAACTTGAATGTGAAAACCACCCCTAAGAGAGGCAGAAGCGGGCCAAGGGGTCTAATTTGTAGTGAAATTCACAAGTGATGCTACACAAGTGGTCCCCAGTCCCTAAATGATAAATACTCCATTGCAGGTGACATGGCACATTTCCTCTTAGGTACAATGTCCATCTGAAATTAGGGCTTTCTCCGATGTCATCAAATTGTGCAAAACTTTACTGTTAAAACAAAAATAATAAGATAAACAGGCCCCCAGATAGCCCTCTCTCTGGGACATTCGTTCACCAACGAATGCCTACGCTATTCCATGGGGCTCTATCTGTTCCAGGACCCTCCTCCCAGCAGGCAGGAGGCTACTCACTGGTGGAAAGGGAGAGGCAGGGGTTCCAGGGCTGACACCAGCACCAGGCCTCGCTGACCAGTCACCAAGGACACGCCTTCCCACTCAGACTCGCCTTCTGCTATCTTCACGGAGATTAACTCATTCTTGCAAAGTGTCAGACACTCTCCTTCCTTCTCAGCTGGCTGAGCCACGGAGCACATGGCTCTGCAGAAGAAGTGGCCTGCAGATAATGAGAAAAGCCCTTTCCAAGGAGTAGCGGGAAATGAAAAGGGGTTATCATGCTGTGTCACATTTCTATCGAGAGCCTGAATACTTTCCTTCCTAGAGACACTATAAGAGGTCCTTGAGATCACGGGAAAAGTAATACCAGACAAAAGAGTCACCAAGAAGGGATTCATTTAAAATAGGTATCGACATTTCATGAGACTGAGACTGATGCTTGTACTTTACCTTGGAAAGAGATGAAATAAGAACTTAGAAAAATGTGTTTCCTAATACAATTTCAGTTAGAATTGGAACCTCATGCTTCATCTTAGAAATAGCAAAGACAGATTATGTTGATTTGGTTGAGCATAATTACTCTAAGATTTGTAATAGCATCATATGAAAGTCTTTTCTTTATTATGACTTCTGCAATACCATCATAAAAAAGAAGCATTTTGCAAAAACATCATATGCAAATTTGGCTCTTTCAATGTGTCTATTGTGTCACGAGGCTTGTGTATCTCAGCTGTTAGCTGGTCAATGGTAACCTAGACAGGAACCTCACTCCTAAATGGATTATGGGATGCTTCAAGGGGTCCTTTAATATCACTCTCCTTGGTTTCACAAAATACTTCAGGTTTTGCAAAATTTGCAGTTTTATTTTGTAATCAAATATTGCATGTTTAGGAAAGTGTTTCTCAATCTTGTTTATTAGAATTACATGGGGATGGGGCCGGCAGGTGGCATGGTGGTTAAGGGTGCTGGCAGCTTGCTTGCTTTCTCTCTCTCTCTCTCTTTCTCTCTCTCTCTCTCTGATCCTCCCTGGTCAAGTTGAAATAAATAAATAAATAAATAAATAAGTAAATAAATAAATAAATAAATAAAGTTAAATAAAGTAATTCAGAAAAAAATAATAATTACATGGGGAAATTTCAGAAAATGCCAATATCTGGGCCTTTACCCCTAGAGATTTATTTGACCTAGCCCTAGCCTGGGCATCTTTTTCACACTCCCTCAGTAGTTCTAATATCAATCATTGAGACTGGCCAACATATTAGGTCACCCGGAAAGTTATGACACGTTTTTCTATGAAAAAAATAAAAGCAAAACTTTCCCGACAACCCAATAACTATGCATGTGATACCTATACTGAACTGAGGAAGATGTCTGGAGTACTACTAAAACAAGAAAGTTTCGTTTGAGAATATTTGCATGTTTGCATTGTTTTTTGCCTTCCTTTGTAACTTAATTACTTCTGATAACACATATCCAGAGAAGACTGGAACTCCACCTCTACCCCATGCTCACCTTCCTGTATCAGGAGCCCCAGGTACATGGTTTCCAGATGCTTGTCATCCACAGACACTTGGACCTCTGTATCATCCACCAATCTGCAGTTGAGCCAGTACTTATGATCAAAGAGGAGATGCTCCAGACACATGGACACATAGCCTGAGAAGTGAAGCCAGCGAGATCGCTGAACAAATGGCTCTGCCCTTAGCTAAGCACAGAAGACAGTAAGCAAGCTCCCTCCCTTGGTCCTCAGACCTTGATCCCCAACCTGCCATTGAACTGGAATGGGGGGTAGCTAGAACTGATTCTTTTCAGCATCTGTTGGGAAATGTATATCGTTTTTAAATTGTATTTGACATTTTCAACATATTGTGGGTCTCTGTAAATGCATAATAAGATAGATGACCAAAGCCAGCCAGCCCAGGACTCAGACAACACAGGTGGTCACAGGAGATCCAGTCACCCTAACCACCACATCACTGCTGGCCAAACTCTGGGGGTTCTTAGTCCTCCCTTAATGTTCTTCTGACCCAAGGTTCATATTCCTGTCTCCCTAATGACGCCATGGCTGAGGAGGTTCTCCATGGCCCATAGGCGTCAGGATTTGCTTCAGCATCCCTGCTCTAATCCTGCCTTCATCCAAGGCGCTGGAAGCTCTCACTTGCTAAGAGCAAACTAAAAATTATATACATTATAAAATGCTAATGATTATGTTTAGTATTTTAAACATGCAAATGGACATGAATTATTTGTATTAAAATTATGCTTGTTTTTTTATTTTTTAAATGAATTATTTTTATTTAACTTTATCTATTTTAACTTGACCAGAGAGGGACGGAGTGAGAGAGAGAAGGAAAGTGAGAAAACAAATCACCAGGTCTGGGACTCAAACCAAGGTTGGTCATGTGGGAGTCCAGTGCCCCCAACCACCACACCACATGCGAGACCTCCAAAATTATGCTTGTTTTGTATCTCCCTCTTTTTTATGATGCCAAAAACAGGCTCTTTTCATCCTGACTCTCTGCTGTGCTGACATAGGCTTTGTGTCCTTCTGCAATTGCACTCCTTGAGTATTTAAGTATGTGCAAATCACCTGGGAATCTTACTAAAACACAGGTGCTGATTCAGTGGGTCGGGATGGAGCCTGAGGTTCTGCTTTTCTAACAGGTCCTGTATGATCCTGATGCAGCTGTTCCACAGAGCACCGTTTGAATAGTGAGGGCCTCTACTGGGCCCAGAAGGAGGAGTATAGTGTGGAGGGCAGAAAACCACCAAGAGGGCCAGCCAGGTGGCATGGTGATTGGGACAACTGGATCCCATATGGCTGGCTTTGCAGTTCAAGTCCTGGACCTGGCAGTTTGGACAGCACTGGTACCCTGAGAGGACAGTAAAGGAGAGGGGACTGTGGCAGAATGGTGCTTTTTCTCTCTCTGATGAATGTGCACAGTCTATAGCAAACGAAAGAAGAAAATCACTAAAACTGTAGAGAAGTTGCACCTTCCATCCACAAGCCATCTTGACCCTTCTCCCCTGTACAACGTCTCTTCCAAGGATGCCTGAATGGAGCCCCACATTTTCTAGGAAATGTAAAATGTACATCAAGTCAGGCAGCTTCTGGCTTTGCTTGACTTTGCTTTGTTTCAGTAACTTCTCTATGATGAGTTGTTCTGCCTGAGCGAAGGTTAAAAGATGAACCTTTCTCATCACAATGGTACTGACACTGTTCCAATTTCCTTCTTTAACTTCGAGAAAAAATTGCAGACTGAGGTTGGGATAAGCAATTAATTCCCTGTCACTTTTTTTTTTTTTTTTAGTATTACCAGAGGGCATTTGCACTCACCAGAGGGAGATAGAAAGATAGAGGAAGATAGAGTGGGAGAGGGAGAAAGTACCTCCCAGTGGGGTGTGGTCACACCACAATGCCTTCTCTTCCATTTCTCCCTCCTTTCAGGATTTTGAGCATGCATGCCCACATGTCCAGCATGTTTTTCTCAAGCTTTTGGGGCCAGAATTCAAACTACACAGTCAGTCTGTAGGATCCAGCTCCCTTAACCGCCAGGCCACTGCTCGGCCACCCCCACAATCATCTCCTCCTTCTACTCTTTTCCAAATACATGGCATAAAGCATCTGGAACATTACAACTTACCCCTTTGGTCAGCTACTTTGACCTTACTCAAAAACATGCCTTTTAAATTCCTTTTAAGAAGAAACCCATCAACTTCACATCATCTCAGCACTTTGAATTTAGGACATAACCAACAACAGTTTCCCAATTGACCTGGTTATCTAATAAAGAAAGTTCTCCCTGGGCACAAAGAGATAAACTTTCCACAAGACATTTGAGAGTAATAATGTTTGCTTTAGATTTTGTCCTAGGCAGCTTGTAATAGTTCAGAATTTATCCACTCCTTTAAGCGATCGATCTGTATTAATTGTTGGAATCAGACCAATGTCTTAATATCAACACCTACAAATTGGCTGAGAAGTGGGTCCCTGTCCACCTGCCTGCTATGTGCCATACCTAAATTCAGGTAGGTGGAGAATTTCCAGATTTCCTCCATGGTCTTGAAGGTGATGAGGAACTGGGCCTTCTGGGACTGGATACTCACCAATCTTGCCGAGAGATCCTGCATAAAGAAAACAACGAGACAGCCTGGGATGACTGGAATATCCATTTGATAAGCTCATGTGTGGGCAAAATGCTCTGTATGAACTTCATGACTGTCACGTTGATACTCCGTCAACACAAAGAAAGGTAAGCAGAAACAACTTATGTTCATCAATAGGAGAATGCTTAAAAGGGAGTGAGGTTCATCCATTCAGTGGAAAATTACAGTAATACACAGCCATAGAAAAGAACAAAGAAGTTCTTGGTGTACTGATACAGGCTCCAAATATAACACAGCTAATGGAACGAGCAACAGCGAACAGAAACTAGGGTGCAGCACTCTGTGCAGAGAATGCTACCTTTTGGGTTAAAAAAAAATGTGTGTGGGAGGGTGGAAGATGATTCACAGAAGGCAGTTTGGAAGCTAATTTGATTGTGAATCTCTGTCTAATAATTATTTTCATAGAGCTGCCAAACAGAAAAACTAAATCCCACAAAAATCAAAATCATTCCTAATCCTTTTTCCTAGACTTCCTCAATGTGAATTTGCCTTTGTGTATTAACTTTGAATCTTTCTTCCTATGGGTGAGTTGCTATGTAACTATATTTATACTAATAGAATCATGTTACATAAATTATTTTGCAATCTTCAGTCATTGCTAAAAAGTATTTTGTAAACCATTCCCCATGTCATTAATTAGACCACATTGTTTTTATTGGTTACATATGCTAATTACTTCTTATGCCTTTATACGTGGATTATCTTATATTTTTAATATATTAAGTGTTACCATGATAAACATGTTTATATCTAAATCTTTGTGCACATCCTTAATTATTAGAACACAAGTCATTCCAAGAAGTGGCTATTTCCCCTGGGGAGTGATTTCTTACTTTCCGTCTCTCTCTGTCTTTCTGGCGAGCGCATGTGCCCTATAGCAAAAACCTCTCCAAAAAAAAAAAGACTTGGGGCTGGCAGGTGGCATGACAGTTAAGGCACTAGACTCCTACATGACCGACCATGGTTCAAGTCCTGGGCCTGGTGGTTTGCTTTCTCACTCTCCCTTTCTCTCTTTCTCTCTCTCTCTCTCTCTCTCTCTCTCTCTCTCTCTCTCTGGTCAAGTTGAAGAATAACCATTAATAAAAAAAAAAAATAGCCTTAGTGGTTACCAGGAGCCAGGAAGAGGGAATAATGGGAAGTTAATTGTTTAATGAGCACAGAGCTTGAGTTTGAGATAATGACAAAATTCCAGAGATGGATAGGTTGTGAACATACTTAATGCCATAGCTGAATTGTACACTTAAAAATTATTAAAATGGAAAATTTTATGTTTATTTTGTATCACAGTTTTAAAAATTAAATAAAGATGTACCTCATTAGAAAAATGGCACACTTAATGAAGTAGGTATTTTTCATTTTATTTTTTAGGTTTTTGCCGTAGGTCATTTGTGTTCACTGATGAGAGTAACAGAGAGATAAAAAGTGATAAATCACCCCCAGATGTGGCCACATCTCAACCCCTTCTCCTCCATTCACCTTTTGGGATTTGGGGCACACAAAGCCACGTCTGGTGTGAATCTCAAGTTGCCAGTTCCGGGACTTGAACCATGGTAAGTTATGTGGGAATCCAGTGCCTTGACCAACACACCACCTGCTGGCTTCATGAGACAGATATTTTAATGATTCTCATTCTAAAGAGGTTGAGGGACTTGCCAAAGATGATACAGGGGATATCTTGGCAAATTAGCAGATTTGAAGCCAAGCTCTCTCTGACTCAGCAGCTCCAGGTTACCCTCCTCGAGTTCCTGCTCATTCCTGTGAAGCAGAGGGTCTATAAGACATTGTCTACACATTTCCTGTCAGTGAGTTTTCTCGAGGGTCTGCTTTGTTCCAGACGCTATCCTGGGCGCTAGGGATCCTATAGCAGATGGTCGCAAGCTGTGTTCTCAAAATTTAGCCACTTCCTCCTCCGCTCACCTTAAACAAGGCGCGCACCTCCTGGTCCTCATTCTCCAGCGCCCAGAGCCGCCTCCGGGCAGCTTCCTGCAAGGGTCCATTTACGCATCTCCTGGAGCGGCTCTTCACACAGAAGGAGAGTGTCAGATCTTGAAGAGAATAAAGAAAGAAGAATCAGGCTGGAAATACAAGTAAAAGAAAAGGAATGCCATAAATCCTCAGTATTTCCTCTACATGCTTACCTAAACCCTAAATCAATGTCTTCATTAATTAGAGATTAGAGTGGTCTTCACGGTCCCAATTATCTAACTATCCCTCCACCTCACCCTCCTTAAACTAGCCTCTTCAGTGAGGGAGGGGGGAATACTGAAGCCAGAAAGGTTATGGAATCCAGAAGTGGGTGCACCACGTTGGTCATCTCTATGTACAGGGTTTATTCCTGGCATTGATATGCCGATGCTAAAATGGAACCAACAAGGTCATCTATCACTGTCTGTGAAGAACATGTGAACGTTTCGAATGACTCCAACTTTATCTATATGCAAGGCAATGTGTTTTATGTGTCAAGTGTATAATATCCAACAGACATATATTTTATACATATATTTTATACATTATACATACACATACATTTTCTCTAACTTGTTTCTGATAATGCATTTATTAATACACTAACAAGTGTACTTGGCTAATTATGAAAGTCTAGCTTTTGTTTCTTCAAAATGCATGTTCGTTTAACAAATACTTATTAAGCTTCCTGTAAGACGGAGCTGTTTTAGGAATATACAGCAGAGATCAAGATAGATGTGATCTCTCTTCTCCTGGGATGTGTATTCTACTTGGCAAATAATTAGCTCCATAAACACAGCAGCTTCAGATGGACAAAGGTGTCAAGGAACAAAATGAAATAGGGTCAAGGGACAGTGATGGAGTGGCTGGAGCGTGACTGCACCTCTGAATAATGTGGTCAGGAAAGGCCATACCGAGGAGGTTCATCTTAAAACTGCACTTTGCAATGTGTTTCCTTTAGACAATAAGTATCAACCCCATTAATAATTATCTCACACAATAAACTAAGAGGGCATTGGATTGGGTCATTACTGAGGTCTCTCTTCCAGTCCCAACTGCCCACGACCTTTGTAAATCCCTAAGCCCATTAGAAACAGCCTCTCTCATGCTGGCCTGGGTCCACATGGTAGCCTTGAACTCACACATTTAAAAGGTCCATCTTTCACCTACAACACACCCACCCAAAGGATCTGCCTTGGACATGAACTTCAACTGCAGGTTTGCTCCTCCCTGGCCCAACTTCCCATTTCATCCAGCCCCTCCCTCTTCAGTAAACCCCCGTCCCTCCACCCCTACACACTGGTCTCTGGGAGGAGGTACAGCACAAAGATTATGCCCAAGAAGGACTCACACAGACTTGGGCTCAAGCCGTGACTCTACCTCCAGTAACTAACTGCCACCCTGAACAATAAATCGCTTCTTTATTCTTGACTTTTCGCATTAGGAAAATGGCCGTGATAATACCTGTCCCACAAGGATTTTAAGAGGCTTATCAAATGAGACTACACATAGAAAGCTTTTTGCTCAGTGCCTGGTACTTATTAAAAGTTCGATAAATGCATTAAGCTTTAGCTATTGCTTCTCCCCTCACCTAGGTAGCAATTACTCCTCACCGCTGCCCTTGCTGATCATAACTATTAACTTTGACAGTAACTATTTCACTGATTTCTTTCTACCAAAGCCCATCTCTCCCATCCTTCCAAAACTGATCCAAACTCCCCTTTAGAACCTCTCCATCACAGCCCCTGCTGACCGATAGCCCTTTCTGCATGAGTCTCCTTGCCATGCACGTTATTAAGCCCATGGATGTGGAAGTCAAAAGACCTGGATTTGAATAAGCAAAGTGCTTTTGAAATCCTAACCCGTGAGAACTGATACTTGGAGCAGAACCTCTGGACTCACAGAGGGAGCCTACGGTGCCCTCTGCAATGCCAGAAGGAAGAGTAAGTCAAGTTCACTCGAGTTTCACTGTGAAGTGTGTGGTATCATAGGTTAATCTCCTGAAAGCCAGTCCATCTGATTGATCCTGCCTGCGACTGTTCTGCAGAAAGGACAGGTTGGCAACTAGAGCCATGCCTCCCCTTCTCACTGTGTGGCCTTTCTGGAAATAGCACCATACTGGAAAACACTAGAAGTCTGACAAGCTCAGACTGGGGCCGGCTCGGATTCACCTAGAGATACCCGTTGTTCCTTGGCCCTCATGTGTTGATAAGGCAAAATGCTGACTCCACTGCACTCGTGAAAACAGATGGCAATTCAGGTTTTTTCAGGAACAGCCCAAGCTGACAGACAGATAAGCAGGCTGACAGAATAGCAAAAAATGCAGGGCAAGGTTTTTCTCATTATCAACCAAGCAGTTAGACAGAATTTAAAACTGGGGGAGGGGGGGAACAACCTGGTATGGTATTTATACAATCTCTATTTATATGGTTTATACCCATCAACACATTCAGACTGTAAATCTTTTTTGCAAATCTCTATTTTGTATCCTGGGGAGAGGTATATTTTTAAATGGGCAGTGGAGCTCGCTGGTTATAAACTAGGGCTGGGATTTAAACCTCTGCCTCCTCATGCATTAATTGTGTGATGATGACGTTTCTTCCCTCTCTGGGACTGTGTTTTCCACCTGCTAAGTGAGGGTGTGGGGGAACTCCCCCTAGAGGTGGGTGTGTGAGGATGGGCACATGTGAGGACGGCTCAGCATGTGATTTGCCCTTGAAAATAATCCCTGCTACTGCACAACAGAAACTGGGTCTTCTTCAGGCTTGTCCTCAGAGTTCCGGGTGTGGGGTTCAGTACCGGTGTAGCTTTCTCTGATAACAACTTTCTCTCTACAGGGTTCATGGAGGTCTCTTAAAGAGAATCATAGGAGAGGTGTTTTTGAGAACACCATATTTTTTTTCACATTAATTTCAAAATTGATTCCATCTTGTGAAAATTGCTTCTCAGCACAGCCAATCTCACCCCACACCCTCAGTCCTTCATTCACTTATTTATTTATTTAATGCATATTTAGTCAGAACCTACTGCACACAAGGTACTTGGGTTAGGTAGCTCAGAGAATATAAGCGTGACCTCTGCATGTTCACGCGTTTACTTAGCAAACACTTTCTGAGCACCAACTACATGCAAACAACTCCTTGTGGTATCACGCTGAAACACGGTTACTTTTCAAAATCACCCCTACCCCCAGCACCTTAAAACCTGATTGATAATACCCTTTTCTTAACAGAGCAAATGTGTATGAAGCTCCCAGTACTTGTAAGATTGTGCAGCTCTTCGAGTGCCAGCCTGGGAAGGTTTAAATTAGTCTAGGCAAAGAAAGATTTGTGAGCAAGTGAACGCCACGTTCCAAGGCATGCTCACAAACATGCGTTTGGTGGGGATGCCTGGGGAGGGTCAGAGGGAGGGAGTCTGCGTATGGGAGATGAGGTTGTTACTGCTATAATCTACATGGACGGTGTTTTTTAAAATAGAGTTTGTCAGGAGCCAGCAGGTGGCATAGTGGTTACAGTGCTGGACTGCCACATGCTGACCACAATTCCAGTACCAGACCTGGTGGCAAGAAAATTCACACCAAGCACGTGTGTGTGCATGCACACATGCGCATACACATGTCCAAAATCAGGAGGAGGATAGAGAAGGGAATGAGGCATGGCCATTCCCCCAGGGAGGTGATCTCTCACTTTCCCTCTCATTGTCTTTGTCTGTCTTTCTCCCCTCAGCTGAGCATACACACCCTATGAAAAAGACCTTAAAAAAAAAAAAAAAAGAGTCTGTCTTGGGCCAGTCAACTGGCATGGTATTTGAGGTGGTTGGATCCCACATGGCCAACTACCCAAGCCGAGTCCTGCACCCAGCAGCTTGAAAAACATGCTGGGCACATGTGCATGTGTGCTCAAAAACCCTAGAGGAGAATGCAAGAGAAAGGATTCTAAGTGACCCTCAGGGGTTCTCTCTCTCTCTCTCTCTCTCTCTCTCTCTATCTATCTATCTCTCTTTCTCTCCCTTTCTCTAGCATGCACACCCTTTAGCAAATATAATAGCACTTGTCTTTGGGATTTAGATACCTGGAGTCATGTTCTGTGGCAGGAAACATTTTTCCTTGTATTCAGATGAAGATATACACTCACTTGATATGGTTAGATCCTTGGAAGAAGTTTCTTTACCTGGAGAAAATAAAATTTTAAAGGACCATTACCTTAATTGGATCATTATGCATTGTATTCATCCCCTGAAAAAATCACAATTTGTAACAATTGCAACAATTGTTAATAAAGTTATCAATTTTTAAAATGAACAATCATCTGTGAGAGTGTAAGAGATTGTAGGCAAGTTATAAGCAAGAACAGCAAATTACTATAATGTGACAGGCTTTTCTCCAGGATTGGTGGCATGGAAGAATTATAACTGTTATCATCATCCCCTTATAATTATTTTGTACTCCACCATTATTAAGCACCTGTCAAGCCCACTGAAGCCTAGGTGTCCCCCATTTTATTGAAAAAGTAGGTTCCTGAAGCCAATAGTTGGCATGGTGGTTAAGACACTAGACTCCCACATGGCAAACTCTGGTTCAAGTCCCAGACCCAGCAACTTGCTTTCTCACCTTCCCTTTTTCTCTCTCTGTGTCTCTCTTTGGCAATTTAAATAATAATAATAAAATTAAATCTTTCTTTAAAAAATAGAAGGAAAAGCAGGTTCCCACCCATTGGGCAAACCAAGTTCCATGTCTTAGGATACTGACGGTGCTCAGTATAATTTAATCTATTCAGGTCATTATGGATCTGTCTACAAGGTCAAGGAGCAGATAGCAAGGACTAGAGAAGAGTGAGGGAGAGTTGCCTCATTAGGGAGATGACTGGGACATGTCATATGAACTGTATGATTGTTCCCAGATTGTCCTGTCTGCCTACTAATAGAGTGCTGTCTGGGACCTTTCTCCTCCTGGCTTTCTAAAGAGTTTCTGCCTTTGTAGCTATATACGTGAAGTAAAAAAGGAGATGAAAGATCAGGACACAAGCTGGAGGTGTGGGAGGGGACAGTATTTGATGGCAGAAAGTTGAAAAGAGAGAAGAGAGTGTAGCTGTAAAATAAGAGGAAGGAGATATACAAGAATAGAGGATTGCTATAGAATAGAGGCTTCCTTCATTGTATCCCCAAATTACAGCAAAGTCACCCAAGTCCCTGACACAACAGTTCTGGTTATTGGACTCCATCCTTTTGACCATAAAACTGCTCAAAGACTGTAACACAGGGTCAGAATATTATATACGCATTACGTGGTTCTGGAAAGAAAGTTTAGGAATCTTGGCTCGGCCACTATTTGCAAGTCACTCATTTAATCCTCTCAGTAAAACTGTGGGTCAGAGTCAAGCAGGCCTACCAAGTTTTGCATTCTGCCCTATGCTTTCAATAACACAGTTCAACAAAGCAACCAGAATGGAGCGGCCATGCTCACTGCTGCTAAATGCTGAAGCTAATTCCTTGTCTTGCTGTGAGAGCCTTTGTCTCCATTCTGTGCCTCTGCAAGGGGCTGCTGACACCCAAGTGGAGGGCCTTCCATTTCTTCATAGTGGAAGGATAGCAGAGCTTGGGGTGATGTAATGGGAGAGGGGAAAATGAAATGGGTTTCAGCTTGAATAGGCAGCAGGGACCCATGTGAGCTTGCAGAGCTTCATCCAGGAAATCTTGTTAGGTGTTCCATGCTGAAAGCTAAGCAGCTTAGCTGGAAAGCTGGCAATAATGAGCTATGGTTGAACAGGGTCATTTTATAGTTCTGTCCCGAGGAACCAAAACCAAGTACAATGATGAAAAACAACAACAACAAAAATAAAGCAAAAAAAAAAAAAAAAAGGAAAAAAAAAAAAGAAAAAAAAAAAAAAAAAAAGGAAAAAAAAAAAAGAAAAAAAAAAAAAAAAAAAGGAAAAAAAAAAAAGAAAAAAAAAAAAAAAAAAAGGAAAAAAAAAAAAGAAAGAAAGAAAAGAAAAGAAAACGGAAAAGGGGGGAAAAGAAAAAGAAAAGGCACTGGCTTGGGAATTATGATACATGAGAATGAGCACAAATCTAATTCTGCCACAAGGTAGCTAAATGACCTTGAACAAGACATTTTGCCTGTCTACATTTCCTACAAATGAATGATTGATCTAAATTGGCTGCCTATTTGAACTGTCCAAGTTGTTTTTAAAAATATCAAAACTCAGACTTCATCCCCACAAATTCTGATTTTTGTTGTCCATAGTGCAGCCATAAGTATTTCTTTTAATCTCCCCAAGTGACTCCAATTTGAGTCAGTGTGGAGAACCCCATGGCTAAATGGGTGCATCTAGCAAACTTTACTGTGTGTAAATCACCTAGGGCCATTGATAAAATGCAGACTCAGCTTCAGTGGTTGAAAACTGAGATCTGCAATTCTTTTCCTTTTTAAAATTAAAGTTTGTTTATTATTTTCTTCTGCGAAAGACACAGAGACAAGCACAGAAAGACAGAACCCTTCCCCCCCTCCAACAGCAAGATCCCCCATCTCCCAGCCCACAGCATGGACATGCTTCACGGTTTTTTGTGCACATAGCAAGAACTCAGAAGGTCCTGGGACACAAAGCTAGGCCCTTTGCCATATGGTCCAGTTGTGTTACCACTGTGCCCCATCTGGCTTTGAGGTCTGCGTATTTTATTTTTAATTTCTTTTTTCTTTTTTCTTTTTTTTTTTTTGAGAGAGAGAGAGAGAGATTTTTTTCTATATAGTGCATGAGCTTGCCAGAGATACATAGAGAGACAGAAAGAGAAAAATCACCCCACAGTGAGGATGGCCATACCACAATCCCTTCTCCTCCATTCTCCTCTCGGCATCTTGGGCAAAAACGCACACACACCATGTGTGAGTTTTAAGCCGCTGGGTGTCCAGGACTCGAACCGTGGTCAACATGAGAGCCCGGCAACATAACTATTACGCCATCTGCTAGTCCCCAGAGGTCTGCATTTTTAATATTCTCCCTGGTTCTGCTCTAATCCTGGGCCCACACTTGGAGTGGCAGCCTACCTTAGGATAAAGTTTGATTATAGGTTAAAAAAAAAAGCCATGAACAGCTTTTATCAGAAGGAGGAGCACACACTGAATTTTTAATTTGGATGTTGGAATATTTTACATAATCCAGATGCTGGGGTTTACTTTGCAACTTGGAAGATCTATAGCCCAGAGCCCTCATTCTCATAGGGCATCAATCAGCTGGAGCTAAGTGGTTGCTACTCCTCTGCAGCGCAGTTATTCTCCAGCCACCATGTCCCCACCCGGTCCAGTCACTCATTCACCCCTGACCCCAGCAAACTTGAGAGCGTGTCCCTATTGAGGGGCTCCAGGAGAAGAGACAATGGCCTGATGGTGAGGGTATGTGAGAGGAGTCTGCCTTGAATAAGGAAAATCCAGGTGGTGAATTTGGCTTGGGGAGAGGGTGCCCAGCTCTCAAAGGACATATGAGGTTTAGGACAGAAAAATCAGTGTTTCAAATGATTAATGGCCTACCTCTATCAGAATTACCTACGTGCTTTTTTAAAAAAGAGTCTGTAAAAATATAAACTTCTAGAAAATATAGAAGAATATATCTATAAAACTTGAGGTTGCCAGTGATGTTTCTAAACAGAATGAAATGAAGTACTCCTCTCAAAAGAAAGAATGCATAAATTGTAATATATTAAAATTAAGAACTTCTGTTAATCAAAAGATGCAACTAAGGGACCAGCAGTTAGCGTAATGGACTGTGTCGCTGGACTCCCATGTAGTCGACCGTGGTCTGAGTCCTGGACCCGGGGGGCACGTGTGTGTGTGTGCCCAGGATCCCAGGAGGAGAATGGAGAAGGGATTGTGGCGTGGCCATCCCCCCCGGGGGATGATTTCTCGCTTTCTGTCTCTCTGTCTCTATCTCTCTGGTGAGCATACATGCCCTATAGCAAAAACCTCTCCAAAAAAAAAAGACAAAAAAACAATAAGATGCAACTAAGATCTTGACAAGCAAGGAATAGAGTGGAAGGATATACTGACAATACGCGGAGTCATCAAAGAACTTGAATGTAAAATTTATAAAGCATGCTAAAAATATCTTTAAGATAGAGTTAGACAACCCACTAGAAAATGAGTGGTGGGCTTGAATAGGCGTTTTACCAAAGACAATATCCAAACAGCCAAAAACCATATAAAAAATTGCTCAACCTCATCAGGGAAGTCAAAATTAAAACCGAAATGGAGCACTACTACACATACTGACTAAAATGAAAAAGACAGTTAAAGCCAAGTGTTTGGAAGACTACAGAGCAACTTGAATGCTGGTATATTACAAGGGTGAGAATAACCATGAAAATTTTCTCTTTGGAAAATTGACAGTGTCAATTCGAGTTGAAAACATGTATATACACTCAGACTCAGTATTTCATTCCTACATATATATCTAAAAGAACATATACATATGTTCACTAAAAGACATCTACCAAAATATTCACAGCAGCTCTATTCATAACAGTCAAAACCAGGTAACAACTCAAACGCTATCTGCACCAGAATGGATAAGTGCATGATGGCATATATCATTAAATTCAATATATTAATGAGAATGAGTGAATGAAGACTACATGAAACAACAAAGACAGGTATATTCACCTTATGAAAATTCGTCATGCTATACACATGATTTTAGGCATCATTTTGTATAAATGGAAAAGTTAAGTAAACAGCTGAATTTTAAAATATCCCTGTAGCACTTCTCTACCTACTCTACCTCAGAATATCTGAGAGTGGAGTCTAAAGACGTGCATCTTTTGTTAGCACTTTGGTTATTTCTGATATCCTCCACAGTACTGAGAATCCTCAAGCCAATTCTCATGAGGCCTCTGGACCCAAGAGTCAGAAGGGCATCTCCTTGAGAAACAATAAGGAAGCTGGAAAATTGGAGTGAGTTGTTCATTAGAAAGAACAGGTAGTAGGTATACAGGGGAGACTTGAGCAAAGATCTCCTAAAAGGGCTGGGCCCTGAGATCCCCTTCTGTTGAGGAAAATAAATGGAACTTGAAAATCAATAAGAGCGGAATTAAAAGTAAATTACCTCTCTAAGCTGCTTGGAATGCAAGCTCCATTTGGTCCAAGTCTAGCCCAAAGACTTTAGACTTTGGTGACAGTAACTAA